ACTGAATTAAACTCTATCCATAATATTATGTTAAAATAGTGTATATCGAATCGGTTTGTGCAATAAGTCCAAACAAGTTTAACCAAAAAATATTTATTTCTCACAATTATGAAGGCTAGAGGGGTCAGGGTTAGGGTCATTAATGTGGGCCACCAGTCACGATAACATCAGTAACAGGTCAGTTTGAAATGAAAGACACAATTCAGTTCAATTTTGGGGTCTTTGTTTTTATCTTTGTGGTATCGAGTATCGAGTATTTTCCTGAGTATCGGTATCGAGTTGAAAATTTTAGTATCGTGACAACCCTATCCCAGAGGGAAACTATCTAATAATCAGCTCTGACGTTACAGGCGTTTCTACTCACCGGCGATCTGCTCTTCTGTTAGTTGATCGGCCTAAAATAGAAAACACACAAGAGAGAAAAATTAACTTCCAGGATTAACATTTTGGAAACAAGTGAACAGTGTGGAGGTCATGTGACACCAGACGAGCGGCTGGTGATTAACGTGGAGCTTTATTGGGATCGGGAACCTTTATTAGGGATGGGACGGTTTCTGAAAACCGTCTGAACCGTTGGGTTCTGTCTCGGTTCGGTTTGCGTGTGTTGCGTTGGGTTCCTGCTGCTCCTTTTTCTCAGAGGGAAGCGTTTACACTCCAGAGCAGAAGGGGGCGCTACTGCGCCCAAAGCCAACCACCAGTAGGAAACAAGAAGAAGAAGAACCGGCGGAACCCATTTCTAGGTCTGCTGTATGGACCAGTTTGCATTTAGAGGGAAGCACATGTTGGAATTAGCACTGTTTCCTCTCTGGCAGAATCTCACCTACTTTTAACCTCAGACTGTCACAATAATGTATCACATGTCAGACTGCTCTTTTCTTTCAGTTTTAACCTGACTATACAAGACATAATAGATTTTCCTAACAATCAACATAAACCGAACCGAACCCAAAACCGTGACCACGAAACCGTGAATCGAACCGAACTGGACCCCTGACCTTTATGTCCTTAAAGCTGATGTCTGTGAGGTCTGCCAC